AGTGGTCACCTCGGTCTCCGGACTTGACCCCACTTGACTTTTTTTTGTGGGGTTACTTGAAAAGTAAAGTTTATGTCACTAAGCCTCAAGATTTAAATGATTTAAGAGGGAGAATAACTCGAGAGATAGAACTAATACCGCCTGAAACGTTCCGGAATGCGGTTTGAGCTGTTTATAACAAATTGGCACATTGCCAGGCTGTTGAAGGGCCACAATCTGAATATTTGTTGTGAATTGTTTGGTACAATTGAATATTTTGCCCAAGCTGACCAACTGGAATCAAATTCGCTTTAACTGATCGGAATCACACACCACTCTTACCTTAACTAGCCGGAATCACACACCACTCTTGCCTTAACTGGCCGGAATCACACACCACTCTTGCCTTAACTGACCGGAATCATACACCACTCTTGCCTGAACTGGCCGGAATCACATACCACTCTTGCCTTAACTGGTCGGAATCACACACCACTCTTGCCTTAACTGGCCGGAATCACACACCACTTAACAAATTGTTAACTTCAAACCTTTATAACTCGATAAGTATTTAATGAAAAGATATTTTATTATAGTGTTTTGGAAAGCTCTCGAGATAAGCTATAAAAATATGCAATAAAATGTTGGGAGTTCCATTAAAAAAATAAAGTTGATCTTGAAATGACCTTGAAGGGCATGGTCAAGGTCAAAGTCAAGGTCATCATCTTACTCCTCGCTTGAAACCATATATCTGTGTTGTTGAACATTTTCTTCAAAATGCATTCTAACTGAAGATATTAGAGGGGTCCGATACTTTTCGATGACCCTGTATATACAGGGTGGGTGGTTATAAGTTTACAATCTGAAGTGTACAGGTAGATTACATTAAAACAAACATAAAAGTCCCATACCGTTTACCGAGATTCGCAATAATTATCGAGTTATTAATGACAGAAATCTTGAAGAGTGGGAGCGCGCCGGCATAGATGATTGGAGAAACATTGAAGCTGCTCAGGCTACGGCGCGGCCCATTCGGCCCAGCAACTGTGGGCGGCGTGCGGCAAGACGTAATTCCGACGAGATAAAATAACGAATAGCGGCGCGTTGTCCTTCCCCTCGTCTTCCCGCTATGTCGACGCGCTTGTACTCCTCAGATTTCTGTCAATAACAACTCGATAATTATTGCGAATCTTGCAACACGGTATGGGACTTTTATATTTATCTTAACCCAATCTACCTTCACACTTCGGATTGGCAGCTTATAACCGGCCACCCTAAAAATGCGCGTTTTCGTCACACGTTCTCCTCGCGGAGATGATTATCGGTGCTATCCTTTCCACACCATCTAGCGGTAGATAGCATGGCACGTTTTTTTATAGTGGTATCCCCAGGAGGCATAATCCACTGTACATTAATGTATTAATGTAAAAACTGCTCGAAATGCCGTCCTTCTTCTCGCATATAAAATTTGTCTCTTCGTTTAATATCGCGCGTTGCTCGGTGCGTCATTTCCGGCGTGATAGTATTGAAGGCCGCGACAATTGTCTCACGTACTTCTTGTTCTGTACCATCACGCCGCTGTTCGATTAAATTCTTAACGTGACCCCATAAGAAATAATCGAGCATATTAAGGTCAGGAGATCGCGGCGGCCAGGTGATCGGACCACCTCGACCTATCCACCTTTCCGGGAAACGCGTATCTAATATATCTCGCACTTGCCGGCTAAAGTGCGCAGGAGCTCTATCATGTTGAAAGATCAACTCCGCTCGTGCCTGTAGAGGGACGTCCTCGAGTTGATGTCCCCCTCGAGGGACGTCCTGGGAGTTGATTTTTGATAAATCGGCGTAAATCTCGCCATTAAGCCGAGGTTCCACCTGCCACAATAGGAAAATCCACACGCCGTTCGAGAAGGCGCGTTCCAGTACCGCTGGAGTATTAATGTTTGGGCCGGAGTAATTGCGGACCGAGTGGTGAGTATCATTCGATTGAAGAAACTTCTTTCTCGCAATGATTTTCTAATATTTCATAATTTTCAGATCGGTCCGTACTTTTTGCCACCTCGGCTTAATGGCGAGATTTACGCCGATTTTATCAAAAATCAACTCCCAGGGCTACTCGAGGACGTCCCTCTACAAGCACGAGCGGAGTTGATCTTTCAACATGATAGAGCTCCTGCGCACTTTAGCCGGCAAGTGCGAGATATATTAGATACGCGTTTCCCGGAAAGGTGGATAGGTCGAGGTGGTCCGATCACCTGGCCGCCGCGATCTCCTGACCTTAATATGCTCGATTATTTCTTATGGGGTCACGTTAAGAATTTAATCGAACAGCGGCGTGATGGTACAGAACAAGAAGTACGTGAGGCAATTGTCGCGGCCTTCAATACTATCACGCCGGAAATGACGCACCGAGCAACGCGCGATATTAAACGAAGAGACAAATTTTATATGCGAGAAGAAGGACGGCATTTCGAGCAGTTTTTACATTAATACATTAATGTACAGTGGATTAGGCCTCCTGGGGATACCACTATAAAAAAACGTGCCATGCTATCTACCGCTAGATGGTGTGGAAAGGATAGCACCGATAATCATCTCCGCGAGGAGAACGCGTGACGAAAACGCGCATTTTTAGAGTGGCCGGTTATAAGCTGCCAACCCGAAGTGTGAAGGTAAATTGGGTTAAGATAAATATAAAAGTCCCATACCGTGTTGCAAGATTCGCAATAATTATCGAGTTATTATTGACAGAAATCTGAGGAGTACAAGCGCGTGGACATAGCGGGAAGACGAGGGGAAGGACAACGCGCCGCTATTCGTTGTTTTATCTCGTCGGAATTACGTCTCGCCGCACGCCGCCCACAGTTGCTGGGCCGAATGGGCCGCGCCGTAGCCTGAGCAGCTTCAACGTTTCTCCAATCATCTATGTCGGCGCGCTCCCGCTCTTCAAGATTTCTGTCATTAATAACTCGATAATTATTGCGAATCTCGGTAAACGGTATGGGACTTTTATGTTTGTTTTAATGTAATCTACCTGTACACTTCAGATTGTAAACTTATAACCACCCACCCTGTATAATATATATTGTTACGTCTCAGCTCCTATTTTTCCCCCCTTTTTCTTATTTCTTTTTTTATTCTTATCGAGCGGTACATCTTGCAATCTAAACTTCTGGTTCTCCCCTCCCTCGTTCGATATGGATTAGGATTATATTATGTTGACATTCGTAACGGCGACCTGTAATTGTGACTAGCATTTTATTTTAAGTTAATGCGTTAGCTTTAATGCCTTTTACTATTCCTTTGTATATGGAAAACCTTGTGTTAAATTTCCGACACCGGCGTGTGTTAATTTGATATATCGATTTTGGATGTTCACATTTTATGTGCCAGACTCAACGTATGAATTGTGTTACTCTTTCCTGTTTTCTTTCTTTTCGGCACTTCTGTTCTATGTTAATTTGACACGTCGTTTTCTACAGGGCGCGTATGCTTTATCATTGCTTACGTAGTCTCAAGAATAACAGCCCGGTTGCGCGAGGGCTTGTCTATTATTTCTTACTATTATTCCAAATTATTTTTATCATAGCGGACAGACTATGCAGCTTCCCCATCTCTTGCTTCTTAACAATAAAAATAAGCACTAAGTGTGGGAAAGTTGTGTTATAACCGTTAACAACTTTTCTAATCGTTATCTTTATAACTCTGCAGTATAAGCATTGTGATTCTACGAATCTCATAATTGTTTTGCGTCAGCAGCACGGCTCAGCTTCGCTCTCAGGAATCTCGGATGGAAGACAAGGCATATCGCGTCGTAATTCTCCACCTTGTTTCTTTCATCCGACATCTCGCTAAACTTTACATATTATCCGGTTATTAGATCAAAGCGTTAGAAATGTAGTGTAAAGAAGTAAAAACCTATCATTATAAAATTGTACTACCCCCGTTTGCCACTCTCCGTTAAAATTATTAATCTTGTTGCGCCGAATTCGCCAAGAACGCTTCCTTGGCCTATCATTGTAAAGCGTCGTACCTAAATTCGCGATTGCCGCATTATTGTCCACCTGCGGTTGACTATAAAATTGTAAATGTTTTCATTTTCATTCTAAGATAACCGAACTGTTTTAGGCGACACTTTGGCGAGGTTCTTATCGTTGTTACATCCGGAGATCGAGTAACTCGCGTCTTGCTCCGACACGAAGAAGAAGGACTTCTCGGCCCATCGGCGAACCGCCCGCTTCTTCACTCTCGTTGAGGCCGTCACACGTTTCGGACGCGTGCTCACAAGTCTCTCCTTAACTATTGTACTTAGAGAATCTTCAAGTTCCATCATCTCGTGACGGTCTCTCATATTCTCATATATCTCCCTTTTTTTCTTTCTGGTTCTTTCTCATTACAATTGTTGCAACCAAGTGTATTCGTGACTTCAACCAATTTCACGATCTTCTTAATTAATTCGTACAAGAAAAGACAGACGCGACTTTCGGAAGCCGGGAGTGCGATATCGCGAGCGTTCGACGTTCCGTCATCTCAGCTGGGAGGAACGCGGGCACGTACGAGGACTCCTTCTCCCGTTCCGTCGGACGCCTAAACAGTGATGTTCCAGCCATCCGATCACTGTAAGCCTTTCGATATCCAAGTTAATAAATATTTGTCTTCCTCTATGTCGTTCGATGTGTTTCGCAAACCGTGTATTGTTCTCCGTACAGGGGCGCTTTCCTCATAGTCATATCCACGTTATCAAATAAATTCTATTGAATCCAATAAAATTCTACGGGACGTAACAATATATATGTAACATATATTGCCCTATTATTTATGAATTCTATAGTTTAACGTAAAATCCTGATGTAGGTGACAGCATATCAAGTCAGTACTGAGATGAATCCCCCGACTGTAACCTTATATGATTCGCGGGCGACACGCTCATCCTAGCCGGGGGGAGAGACTGGAGAGGAGCCGTGAACATAGCGAATTTGGCGGTGGCAATCGCCGTGGGCTCTATCAGGAATCTGGGTCTGATGGTGGCGGAGAAGAAAACAGAAGCCATCTTTCTCCATGGCAAGGCAGTCAAACTACTCCAGGCCCAGATCAGAGTAGGAACGTACAAGGTCCCGATAGAGGCCCAGATGAAATATCTGGGCCTCGTCCTGGACAGCATTTGGTACTTCAAAGAACACATGAACCGCCTGGTCCCCCGACTCAAGGTATTGTCAGCATGCTTGGGCAGACTTATGTCCAACATCGGAGGACCGGGGCAAAGGGCTCGTCGCCTCCACGTGGGAGTTTTGAACTCAGTCGCGCTATATAGGGCGCCAATATGGGCTGAGGCCCTGGCCGTCAATCACCGGATGCGTGAGCAGTTGCGCAAGACGCACAAAATACTGGCGGACAGGGTCATCAGGGGATACAAAACGATATCTCACGAGGCGGCGACGACTCTGGCGAGCATGCCTCCCCTGGAGCTCCAGGCATTGATGTATAGGAGAATGTATTTTGGGAAGAAGGAGCTTCAGGGGCGGATAAAGGAAGACGAGGCGCTCGCCAGAGCCATAAGAGAGATGAAGCACCAAACTCGGCAAGCCCTCCTCCATAGATGGAAGAGGATGTTGGCGCATGCCATTTACGGGAGGAGGGTCTTCGAGGCTGTCCAGCCCTGCCTACATGAATGGGTAGGCAGGGATTTCGGGACCTTGACGTACAGGTTGACACAAGTACTCACCGGGCATGGATGCTTCGGTGAGTACATGTGTCGCATAGGGAAAGAGCCCACGGCGAAATGTCACCATTGTGACTATGGCCACGACTCCGCGCAACACACAGTGCAAGACTGTCCAGCTTGGGTAGTGGAGCGCGGAGTCGTGGCCAGGGAGTTGGGTCAGGACCTCTCACTCCCAACAGCGGTGAGGTCTATGTTGGAGAGTGAGAGGAACTGGGGAGTCTTCGCTTCATTCTGCGAGGCGGTGATGCTGCAGAAGGAGGCAGCGGAGAAAATCCGCCGGCAGGCAGAAGGGAGGGGGAAAGGGCAGAAGAGGAGAAAACGTCACAGGGAGTGGCGGGGAAGTAGGAGTAGGAGCAGGGACGGGGTGGGTTCCTCTGATGAAGAGGCACTGAGGGAGGCGCTGAGACAACCCCACCAACGGAGACGTTGGACCTCTAGGCCCTCGAGGGGTTTCTGGATGCCCTCTTTCCGAGGGCAGAAGGGCCCCCCCCATGATCCCGACCCCCCCGTTGGGGGAGGGTGATTGGGACGAGGGTCTGGCGGTGAGTCCAGAGGAGCTCACTGCGGCCAGGAAAAGGCTCGGGGCCAAGGGGAAAGCCCCTGGCCCCGACGGAATTCCTGGCCGGGCCTGGGCCCTCGCCCTCGGAGAGGGAAACCTGTCCGAAGCCACGCGCAGGGTTTTCAGCGGGTGTCTGAGGGAGGGGGTATTCCCCCCAGAATGGAGGAGGGCCAGACTGGTCCTCCTCCCCAAGGAGGGCAAAGTACCCGGGAGTGCATCGGCCTATAGGCCGATATGCCTGCTGGACGAGGCGGGCAAGATGCTGGAGTGCATCGTTGCCGACCGCCTCGTCCAGCACCTGTCCTCGGAGGGGCCGGACCTCCACGACTGCCAGTACGGGTTCAGGCCCGGAAGGTCAACGCTGGATGCTATCCAGTGCTTCCGGGACCTGACCCGGGCGGTCGTGGAGGAGGAGGGCGGAGTGTTGTTGGCAGTGTCGTTAGATATAACGAACGCCTTCAACACCCTGCCCTGGCCGGAGATTGGACGGGCCCTCGAATACCACGGGATGCCCGTCTATCTCCGGCGAATCCTATCGGCCTACTTCGGGGGCAGGGACCTCGCCTTCCCAGTGGAGGGCGGGGTTCAAGGCCGGCGCGCTATGGAGCGCGGTGTTCCGCAGGGGTCGGTTCTCGGCCCCCTGTTATGGAACATCGCGTTCGACCGGGTGCTGCGCACTCCGCTTCCCCTCGGTTGCCACGTCGTCTGCTACGCAGACGACACGTTAGTGGTAGCCGGGGGGGAGAGCTGGGGGGAAGTCCGCCTCCGCGCGGAGACGGCATTGGTGTCAGTGGTGAGTACCATCAGAGACCTGGGTCTCAAGGTGGCGCCCCAAAAGACCTAGGCCGTGTTCTTTCACGGCCGGGGTCGGAGGGTGCCGCCAGGGACCCGGGTACTCGTAGATGGAGTCCACGTCCGCGTCGGGCCGACGATGAGATATCTCGGCCTGACGCTGGACAGTCGGTGGAGCTTCGGACCCCACTTTGGGGAACTGGCCCCCAGGGTGCACAAGGCAGGACTGGCGGTGGCCAGCCTGACGCGCACCCAAGGGGGCACAGGATGGAGAGCTCGCCGCCTGTACGTCACGGCGGTGCTCTCGATCGCCCTGTACGGGGCGCCCATCTGGGCGCCACAGCTGGGGGCCTGCCGCAGAGGCAAGTGCGCACTGCGGCAGGCCCTGAGGCCCGTGCTCATCAGGGCGATTCGGGGGTACCGGACCGTGTCGTACATGGCGGCGACCACCCTGGCCGGCGTCCCCCCTGTGGAGCTCTTAGCCGAGGAGCGGCATCTCCTTTACTGGAGGGTAAAGAAGCTTTACAGGGAGGGAAGAATGTCGGCCAGGGCCCTAAGGGGTCTGAAGCTCCAAGCCGAGGCCCGGACCCGGGAGAGGTGGGAGGACTTATTGTCCGACCCCCGGGGTCCCGGGCCAGCGACGGCAGCGGCTGTCCGCCCCTGCCTGTCCGAATTGACAGGCAGGAGGGGACGTGGACTATCCTTCCGTCTGGCGCAGGTGCTGACCGGGCACGGGTGCTTCGGTCGGTATCTGTGCCGGATAAGGAAGGAGCTCACCACTCGATGCCACCACTGCCCCGCGGCGGAGGACACGGCGCACCACACCCTAGTCGCGTGCCCAGCATGGGCCGGGGAGCGCCGTGTCCTCTGCGGGGCGGTGGGATGCCGAGAGGGGGAGCTTTCGCTCCCGCACATGGTCAAAGCCATGTGCGGGAGCGAGGAGGCGTGGACAGCGGCGGTCTCCTTCTGTGAGACAGTAATGTCCCAGAAGGAGACCGCCGAGTGGGGGCGAAGACAGTACCGGGGCTGCGGGGAGCAGCTCCCGGGCGGACAACGCCCCCAGGGGGACGAGGGACGCGACAGCGTGCCCGGGACACCGCCGACCGAGGGGGGCTCACAGACCCGCGAGGGTAGGCAGTCCCCTCGGCCGCCACGGGCCCGCCACCGGTCGCAAGGGCGGGGGTAGGGAGGCGGCGAGACGCCTTCCCTACCTTCCCCCCCGAGCGACCGGACAAGTTGGGACAGGGGGGAACGATGCCCCGGTTGGGGCCGGACCCGCTCCCCTACAAATCCTCCCCTCCCTGACTAGCAGGGAGGGGAGGTAAGGAGGGAGGGCGGATGTCCTCTCCCTCCTTGACAGGAGACACCAGAAGGCCAACCGGCGGGGGGTAACCCTCGTCGGGGACCGCGCCCTGGATTCCCTTCGTGGAACAGGGCGCGGTACACAGATGGCGAGGGGCTCCCGGAAGAGAGCCCTGGGGCCGGGGGGTTGGGGAGGGAATACGGGAGTAGTTCCCCCGACTCCCCTCCTCACGGTCCGACAGGTAGACATCCCGCAGGGGTTTTAGTCGGTAAGAGTCCGACATAACCCCCTTCCTCCCCAAGGGGAGGGGGTATCCATGATGGATTTCCCCTGCGTGACCAAAAAAAAAAAAAGGCGCTGAGACAACAGCCCCAGCCGCCTCCCTCTCCCCAATCTGCTCCTCCCCCGGTACAAGTTAGGGGAAGGGCCCCCAAGAGACGCGATGCCCCTCACAGGGCGAGTATCTTGGGGGCGAAGAGACAACGGCTCATGGGAAATAGGGCGGCGACAACCAGAGTGTACCTCTGCTATGTTGTCGGCAGTCAGAGTGACAAAGAGGGGGACACGACATCTGTCCCCCAGCCGTAGTCCCCCGGTTCCCAATTTGGGAGCCGGATGACAATAAGGGGGGAGAGAGTATCGGTGGCATCGCCACTGGCGACCTCTCCCCCCCTCTGCAAGGTCCACCATTAGGGTGGACATACAGGAAGGGGTCATTGAGACTTCTCCTATTTCTCCTCTGGAGGTGGGAGCGCCCGGCGGCTAGGGGATTATTTCCCCCCGTAACCGCCGGGCGGAAGGGTGGTGCACCGGGCGGGGACTCCCGGTGTCCCAACCAGCCCTCCCAAAGTAGGGTGGCTGACTGATTCGGTGGGTCAGTCAGTCACACAACGACATCTTGGCGGCGCCCCGCCTGACTGAGAACGACGGTTGAAGCGCAGGCGTTTGCCGGCTTCCCCCTTCTCAGTCATATAGGCGGGGCGTGAGGGGTGGAGGAGGGGAGGAACGGTGGTTGAGGAGAGCCTGGCTCGTCTCCCCCTTCCTCCCTGGGGAGCGGCGGTTGAGGAGAAGTCAGGCTCGCCTCCCCCCTTCCCGCTCCATCCCTCAGGGACAGACGATAAGTCTATCTGGACTCGGGACCCCGATTAGCAGTCATGTGCGGCTCCGGGGTCCCGGCCCAAGTCCCTTCGCAGCGCCACCCGGGGAGGTTTTAGCCGGTAAGAGTCCGGCATAACCCTGGCCCTTCCCCGAGGGTCAGGGTATCCATGATGGATTTCCTCCCTGTCAAAAAAAAAAAAGTACTCAGATGAAAATAACGGATTAAAGTCAATCGTATGAACTGGCTGTATTAATGATGGTAATACTTATCTCCTTTTATTCTGACGATTTAGTCATGTGCTAAAATGTTTAGTATATTTTTGTCCTTTTTGTAATTAAATAATATTTTGCAATATTATTTTTTATAATTTTGTATTATTTTTCATTGGCTACTTCTCGGGAGAAGCGCAAGAAGCAAGCAATAAGATTTTTAGAAAATCTCGTGCCCAACATAGCAGAATGCAGTCGCGACGAAGTACTAATGAAGATATTATGCAGTATCTTCTAATATCGTCAGATCTGGTAATTAGTAGTCTAAGGATAACACACAAAAAAAAAGAGAAAAATTTATCTGCAGAAGCTAAAGAGTTATTACTTAATTGAAATAAAACAGCTTTATATGTAAAATGATAATTTTGTACATTTTGACAAAATGTTACAATAAATATAAGTAAGATATGTTATAAATATGTTACAATATAAGTTTGTTAAGATACATTATAGATATATATGTTATGTTATAGATATGTTGTGTTATAGATGAATTGTGTTATAAGTGTTTTGTGTTATAGATGTGTTATAAATATATTATAGATGTTTAAATATAAAACAAAGTATATACAAAGTGTTTAAACAGAAAAACATAGTAAGATATCAAAACCACAACAAAATACAAAAAGTATGAAAAATAATATAAACTTATGAAAAATAATATTGCAAAATATTACACTCAAACGCAAAAAACCCGGTACACTAAAAATTTGGGAAAAAATTACAAAATTTCAAATGATCATAACTTGGTAAATAATGAAGATACAAATATGCGCAGAAATGCAAAATGAAGCTTGAAACGTCCTCTTTAAGAATATCTGAATGGCAATTATGCTCGGCCATTTTTTTCAAAATGGCGGATGATAAAGTGAGAGGATGCAAAATTTATAATCAAAGGTCCGTGTTTGCGATGGTACATGGTGTGCATCAGGTATCGCAGCGTAATGAGACCAAATGCACATGAAAGTATAGAGTGTTATCTTTAAAATGCTACTTTACCGAGCTCGATATGATCATTTTTCACTGAGTTGTTCCAAATTTTGCTAAAAATGCGGTTTTCTTGTTAAATTTGCATAATTCAATGAATAAGTATCGCATCAAGCTGTATAACGAAGTATTTTAAAGAAAACATTCTATACATTTAGGTACTTTTCGTCCTATTGAGCTGCGACACTTACTTTGCTCCATGCGCCGTCGCACGCTCGAACCTTTTTTTAGCAACTTTTCATGTTCTCCTTTTTATCACCCGCCATTTTGAAAA